CGTAACTGAGAAGCCTAACCGTAATACTGGAACCTATTCGTACGCTCAAACCCTAACCATAACCCGAAAACCGAAGCCTTAAGGCATAACCCTAACCGGAAAATCGGAAACCATTAACCGGTACCCTAATCCTAACCTCAAACTTGAAACGGAAGCCAAATGTGTCCGATGTGACTATGGAGGCTCACAAAATAACCCCAGTAAACAACCCCCCCCCCCCCCCAGCCACCTGTAATGCGGGTCCGGGCTACCAACTGCGATCTAGCCGGTCATTGAAATCGTCTCCTGTAGGCTGGACGTTCCACACTCGGCTAATGTGTTCATTGCTTCTGTTTAAACATTCTTTCGTAATCTGCAACTTTAGATCCAATTTTATTGGTCCCATGTGACACTAACGGGATTGCCGGTTGCAGGACTAGTTAGCAATGTCCAATTTCATGAAGTCCGATCTGCCAGAATTACATGACTAGATATAAACAGGAGTTTACTAGAATTGTAACAAATAAAGTTAGCTCATTCATCACCCTCCAGCTTTCCTTAACCGAGAATTAATATCTGGTGTCCAGGAAATTTCAAACTAAGTAAAGGCAAGCATGGGGCTGTAATTACCCAAACGCATCTCTAGCACACCAGTCAGAGTACATGATAATCTTAGTGGTAGAGTTGTGATTGCATCCTTTCCTGTAAGTTGGAAATCCCGCACCGGCGAGCACAAAGTGGTCATTTATACCTTACAGAAGATGACTCCTTATGGAGCTTGCGGTACTAATAGCATAAGCAAGTCGGGTAAATCACCCTAGGCCTGCGAGGATGTCAGCCTCTACTCGAAATCTTTCTGTTAGGGGTTGGGCTAGAGCTTGTCTACTGCAGGTACGGCTACAAAATAAGATCCGATCTGCCTGTCAATAGTCGAAATTTTTCTGGAGCGTAAAAAGAAATGTAAGTAAAACCGCGAATTAGTCGGAATAAATGGACTCATTCTACGGAGTGGTCAGTAAGTGGAGGGCTGTTAGTTCTGATATCCTGACAGGCGTGTTTGAGTGATACTACTGATGTTTCTACGTCCGTACTTCGTCTTCGCCGGCTTGGTGGACTGTATATAGGCGTTTGGTTTGTGGTGTTTTGTTAAATAAATAACTTCTTCGTCATCTGATACATGCATAATATTCGTTTGGTCTCTTTTGGCAGCTGATCAACAAATGCGCAGTCTTTTTAGCCTATTACAGGGGATGATAAAACATACGAATACTCAATCGAGGTAGTTGGGTCAACTCTCCAGTGTTAAACATCGCCAAGCGGGATCATGATCGTCATAAGCCCAGTCTATTTCCCCAATTTATTAATGCCCGACGGATGTTAGACTTTGAATAGTAATCACCTGCGCCATGTGTGTCGATGTAGCTAGCCAACCAACAGCTGCTTTTGTGGTCCATCATTTTGCAATAGATTATACATTGTTCTCCGGAAATTTCATCAAGTTACATTCGCCCCAATTAAAGGCAATTGCGTTGAAAAAACGGGCATACTTTTGATTGTAAACGCTTGAGCTAGGATATCTTTCGGTCGGACATAGAAATATAAACTTCCTCCTTCTCCTAAAGATGGCCATAAAGTAAATTCCTGGAGAATACCTATTCCCGAGTTCTAGCGTTAACCCTAACTTTGATATTTACGCTTGCTCGAAGCCATTACTAAAAACTACATCTCTAACTCCAACCCTAACCTTCCGGACCCTCTCCTGTGGACGGTTGAGATGGCCAGTACGTTAAATGTGTAGCATTCGGTGGCATCAGCAGCAGCGGCAAAAACAATGAGCTGGACGCCGAGGATTGTAAACAACAGGTGAATTCAACGAGCGCGAGGTCTTTTTTTGAATTGTCCCTAAACCATTATTTCTCGACCCATTATAAATAATATTTGTGTCAGAAGTTCACTTAAGGAATGTAAAAACGCTGGAGAAATAATGACTTGAATAATGCGCACGGATGTCGTTCGGGTTTCGAACATGTAAAAATTGTGACATCTCTGCATTCCGCCGCATTGGAGCTACATTTATAAGAATTACGGGCAAAATACTAATCCGCAAAATACGACGAAAGCTTTTGTTAATCCGTTCGAAGAAAATAATGGTTTTTATAAAAGCGGAGGCATAATCAAAATCTTCATCCCAGTGATCGAAGACTGTTTTTCGTTCTCAGAAGAATATATATAAAATTAATAATTTTAAAAATATTAAGCGTAGGAAATGGAACAAAGTGTCTGAGACCCCACTGGCAGGGGCTGACCCGAAATTTCAATGGACATTTGAGTCGAAGATAATCAACTACCGCGGAATAGCCACGTAATCTCCATTCACCTACTTGTAGCATAGTTTTATATGGTAGATGGTCAAACCTTATTCCTAACGTAGGTACTACGGTAGAGTCATTTGTCAGATAAACGCATGCTACTAAAAGTAGTCCTGGCTTGTAGAATGGACATTATTTGGTTATTTCACAGTAGCTGATTGTTTTCGATGCAAAAGTCCATTGACATTTCAGGTGTGGTTCTTAGAAAAATCCTGTCTCGGACACTTAACACGATTTCCTGCACCGAATGATTTCTGAAATTATTCGCTTGATCATTCTCCGGACTTTATATACCAGAAACTGCAAAGAGAACGTTGGGGGACCCACTAAGGAGCAGAGCCGCTTGCAGTTACGTCACGCAGTGACAGAGACATCGGCAAAACGCGTGCCTGGGCTTCCGATTAATACGGTATAACTATCCTTCATACATATATATGAGGTAGTACCAACAAAGACAAAGGGGACCGGAATGGCCATTTCTGGCTTATTAAGCGTCATCAGCCGGACATACCCAACCCCAAGTGTGGATCACTTGAGATTCGATCCTGGGACCTTTGGTCATGGATTTTGACAGATAGAAGTTCAGATAAAGCGAAAAGCGTGCGGCTTTACAAACTTGTTCAAAATGAACAATTTGGTGCCGTTATGACCATTATGTCAGAAATCGGTAGCGCATGCTATCATTACGTTTTCGTTTGCATGCCATCCTTTTCATTTCTACTTGAGTTTGTTGCATGCAGTTCGATATTCTGAGCCATGCATAACTCCTCAAAAATTCCTTACTTTAGCGTAAGAAAATGTACTTTTGGTGACCACGTTATATCGCTTACTTTTACACAGCTTTTTATGCTCTGTTTTCCGTTTTGCAACTCTCCTCCTATGAAATCTTGACTGAGACGGTTTCTAGCGACCTTGACGAAGACCTTTATCGCTTTCGCAAAAACACTTGAAACCGGTGAGAATATTTCCTGCTCCTTGAAATCGAGGGGCCTTGTTGCGCGAGATCAGCTATCGATCACAACTTACTCCTTTAATGCTCTGTAGGAGAATGGAATGCAATTCTTGCGATTGAACCTGCCCCGTACGGCCTTGCAAGCTTGGAATGCACTATATCAACGTCAAAACACTTGGAAGGGGAAGGTTTATGATACTCATTAATTCTTTATGAATGTCAGAAGGGCAGAACCATGTTTCAACGCAGAGAAGATATAAAAGTAAAAAACGCTAAATTGGCTGAATGATCATCA